ATTTAATTAAAGTTAAATAATATTTAAAATATATGTAAGAAATTACACCTTGATCACAAAAAATAATATTACGTAAACTGTTTCCGTCATTCATGATATGAAAATATCCACATTGGAATTTTTCGAATTGGTTTCATCGATGTGTATGTATACATTTGTAAGTATATATTGCTGTGATACCACGAGCTAAGGTCACGTGGTTCACTCATCGTGTATTTCACGCTGATCATTTCAACCCGTGCGGTTGATCTATTCGGTGGTGGTTCAAGTCGCGGTGTAATTTGCTTGATTCTAAACTAAGATTTCAAGATTAATCTCGGATGATCTGGCATCGCAAGTATAGTACGAAGTTATTACTGTGCTCTTCTCATAAGGAACATGTACACTGTATCAAAAGGACCTAGCAAGATTGTCGCTAAGACAAGAAGAGGTACTGATATTTGAAGAATATTTAACTGTATTTATAAGCAGTTGTAATATCAAGTTCATTTGACATTGTAATTTTTTAGGAATTAGTCAGAATCTTGAGAGACTAGAAACTTTGCGCGATTTAACGAGAAAAGCAGATCCTGACGATGACCATGAGATCACCCGGTAAGTAATGCTTTAATCCATCTTAACCCTACTTCGTTGCTTTTCTCTCTCTCTTTTTTGTAGCTTAAGCATTTCAGCATTACGCAATTCATAATTCTCCATTGAAAACACGCACGTGTAATCTCTGTGTTATACTTCCCATAAATGATAAATTATAATTCATAAAATGTCATGTACATCATATGTTTTTGAAAAGTTATGTGATGCAGTATAGAATAGTTTTTTGTATTAATATACATATTAAAAATATTTGTTTCACAGCCATGTTCCAAAACCAGTCTTTCACATGAATGGAAAATCTAAACTCAATTCACAGAGGCATCAAATGCAAGAAGTTATCACACCTCAACATGAGGAACTTATTAAATTTGTTTATGAATGTAGGTTGAAAATATTTAAATAATTATAATTTAATTATTTTAAATTGAAAGGTAAAACAGGTTTGTATTTCTTGAAATATAAAGAAATAAATTTATAATATATATTGCATAACATATAATATTAACATTATGTCACAATAGTATAAACATAATTTTTATTTATTAGCATGGAACCAAGTTAATACACGGCAAAGAAGTGAATCTTCTGATGGGTCAGATTGTTCAGAACCTTCCAGTAAGTTTTATTTAAGTATAGTGAAAATAAATTACACTTTTTTTTCAAACATCAAAATATTTATCTCTATACATTTGGAGAAATTAATAAGTAAACAGATGAAATTTTATTAAATATTTTATATATTTC